ATTAATATTATTGGCATAACCAGAAAAAATATGTCGGGAGACTCAGCCACTATTTTTTGGCATCTAGAGAATTTTTTTAATAAGAAAATTTATATTTAAAACGAAATCGATCTGGTATTTATAAGTTATTTTACATATTCGATATCAAAATTCTATAGCTATACTAATGCATTCGAAAATTAATGTCAAGAACATTGACATTTTTAGATAAGTTGAGTATAGATTATAAATCAAGACTATTAGATCGGAACTCTTTTTTTTTGATCTAACAACAGCATTTTTATTCAACAATTTTAACACGATCTATATATATATTTAATCGTTGACAATGCCAATTTTGTAATAACTTACAGCGTTGTATACTTGAATTTTCGTTTATTCAGTAGTAATACATCAGAATTTTTAAAGTCTTCACTGAATCAATATTTTTTTCTTTCGTAATTATCAAATTACATTATAACACTTTCATTTTTTATTATAGTTTCACTTTTTATTATAGGTCATTGACAAGTGTAGATTAGTTTAATCTAATCTTAATAAAAGTAAAAAGATATGCATTTTCTCCTTCAAATATAATAGATAAGACATGTTAAAAATCAAAATAGTCTTTATATAAGATGCTATTCGAATTCAGAAAAAAGTTAATTTAATGATTGATTGTTTATTTTCTTTTTCTTTTTTTGTATTTTACAAGTACCTTCTGCAATTTTTTTGTAATATTATTCTAACATGCTTCTATAAATTAATGTAATTCTGTCCTGCAGAGTTAAATCAATTTTTTTTTATTATATTTATTTTAACGAGTATGTAACGCTTGCCAATGAATTATTTTCTTTTTATACACTTCTTATTCTTTTTTTTCCTTCTTCTTCTTCTCATTTTAAGAATTGAATATAAGCTGTATTAATATAAAGTACACTTCTGACGTATATCGGAAAATGACTCAACTCTTGTAAATATATATAAAAGATAATTTATTAGATTTCAATAAATGCTCGTGATGAGTGTGTTTTTTACGATTTGATATACATATACGTATAAGTTAGGCAAATAAACGATTCGATGTCCTTTTTTCTCTGTCTGCCTATGCATAAGTAGTGTCATTGTGGAAAGTTTAACGCATCGAATGTGCTGTTTATTACACTTCTTCTCTTCCTTTCTTTCTTTTTTCTCTCTCTCTTTATTCGATGCCAGTTCTATCAATGCATCGATATTTTGTCCTTCAATAATACAGGTAAAATCTAATCACGTTTTTTTTTATATGCCAAAGAAACGGCATAAAAATGCATTGATCAATGTCAATGTATAATAAGTAAACGTGAGTATACAATCACGTAACAGAGTTTGAAAACTAGTTGAATAAACCAGCAGAGAGGTTAGTTTACAAAAAGATTCATGAACAGTTGTAAAGCCATGTTCAAACATTTAATACTTTCAATCCAAACGAATTGATAATATAGAATTTAACAGTATATTCACAAGGTTAGATTTCGTATATATATATTGAATTTAGATTTTTCTCAAAAGAATAATTTATTCACTATTAAAATATTGAACAATTTTTATTGACAGAAGAAATTTTATTAAATGTTTTACATACTATCAATCTATTTGACTGTAATAATACGAAGACATCCTATTAATCTTATACTAACGATTTAGTTTCATCAATATTAGCAAATAATTAAACTTCTTTTAACTTTCCCGTCAAATTTATTCTATGTCAATATTGATTAGAAAAATCTCGTGAAATATCTACTATAATTTCTAGAAAAATTTCTTCGTTTCATAGAAGACTGTGAAGTCTTATGTATGATAGGTGAATATAATTGAAGAAGAATATCAACATAACAAATGGACAAGAGCTAGACGACTATTTACAATAAAATAACATTTTGATAGATCTGTAGACATTATTTTCATATGTTTATATCTACCCTGAGGAAATTTCATCATGAATAAATAGGGTGTCATAAAGTTTTTATATGATGATAAAAAAATTCGTAGAAATAATATGGACATCTTTGATTTAAGCTCGAACATTTTATAGATAATAGTACGATGAATATTTATGGAAATATTCGATTTTTTTTGTACATTAACCGTATAACATAATGCACCATGTGGGAGTGTCCTTGGCCTTTTCGTTACTTGCGCATCGGCATTTTATACTGACAAATGATTCATTTTCTATGTTCTTTTACTTCTCTTTTTTTTTTACTTTTTATCGCGTCGAGACGATAAACGATATATATATCTAAAATTTTTCTTTGTTTTTTCTCTCGCGTTGTCGTTGTTCTTCATCTTCAATCTATTAACACTGTCCGTGCTTAGTATATAGAGAGAGGGAGAGACCGATAACGGTGACTAAACTTCAGCCATGTCACTATTTAAACTTGGAATATGAATGAGTAATAGAGAAAAGGAATGAACCTTTTCTACTGTTTGCATCCGTACGACAATAAGACTAAGCAGAGGTAAAAGAAAAAGTTCATATTCTTTCTCTTTTCTTTACTTCTTGCGGGCAAATTATACATCTTGCGGTTGGTCGGCTCGTTGGCGAGCAAACAGTAAGCGAATATAGAATGAGCGCGTGTGCCATATATTTTTCGATCTTCATCCTACTATACTACCTTTTATTAGACAAGAGTAAGTGAGAGAACAGAAAAAGAAAGAAAGAAAAAATATCAAGAAAGAAAGGAAGAAAAAAAAAGAATGAGTTATTCTCTACGTTATAGTCAAGTCACTGTCAACGACATTCATTGAAAGAAGAACATAACCAGGTAAAATTGTCCCATACACATCTCTTTTTTTCGTCAATTTAAAAGATCGTCTTTTTTTTTCTTTCTCTCTTTAAAGAAAATGTTTGAATAAATGAAAGATTGTAGTAGAACGCATGTATTAAGACCTTGAAAATATATTCTAAACCACCAAAAGAAAAGATGAGTTGTCAAATGAAGATTTTGCCTTTTTTTTCCTACTCGTAATAATTGATACATATCATTTATAAAAAGAACAAATTCGTTTTTTTTCTCATCATATTAACGTGTGACCGAAAATAAATAGAGTTCGAATTTATATGTATATACATATATATATATATATATATATATAGATGTATATACATATAGGTAGGAGAAAAAAAAGTGCAAGAGAACGAAAACTATTGATTTTAGAATTTTGATCAAAATGTAACAGAAAGAGAAGAAAAATAAACATATTCTTTCTCTGTACTTATGTTACATGGTAGTTGAAGCAATATAAATGATATCTTGTAATTAGAATTTTTTTCTATCCTTTAGTTTTAGATAATGATTGAATTAACGTTATTTTTACATTTATTTTTCCTATCATTTGTATTAATAAATTGTCAACAACTTCAATGGACTTTACTTAGTGAAGTTCCAACTGGAGATGGACCAACACCTAGACGTAATGCAGCAATGGGTTTTGATTCATCATTTCTTATCTTATATGGTGGTAGAGATCAAACAGGAATGCCTACTCAAGATACGTTTGCTTTTAATATTCTTCAAGGTATATCAATACAGATTGAATTATTTTTAAATAATCAATAATTTTGTTATAGGCTATTGGGAACGATTAAATTTTGCAAATACACCATCTAGTCGATATGGTATGGGATTCGCTAGTTCACCTGGTAGTGGCTTATATGTTTTTGGTGGATTTGGAATGCAACAAGGTTCATCACAATATTATAATCCATATACAGCTTATGGTCAATCAGGATTTCCAAGTTCTAAACAAAATCCAGCAGCAAAAACTAAACGTAGTGCAGCAGTTCAGAGTAAACAAAATTTTAATCAAATGAATCCTACTGGATATAATAATTATAATAATAATGATGATCGTGCCGATGAAAATTATTATCCATTACAAGATGCTTGGTTTCTTAGTTATATGTAAATGTTCTTTTCTTATTTTCTGATAGTGAAAATATCATTATTGAATTTAATATTTATTTTTAATTAGGACAAAAAGTTGGCAACAAACACAAACATCTCAATATGGACGTGGTTTAGGTGCAGCAGCTGCTTCACCCTATTCAAGTGCTATACCTCGAGTTATCTATAGTATGGGTAAAAGTCGTGATTGGATTTATTCAACTGTTGAATCAAGTGGTCAAGTTACATCAGGTTATAATCAATTCAGTTCAGGACAATCAGCTATAAGTAAATTTCTTTGTACAATAATTAATGGATATCATTTCGTTTTTTCTATTTTTAGTTATGTATGATTTATCATCATATAGTCCTGCCTATCCACATGCTCGTTATGGTCATTCAACAACATTACTCACAGATAACCATCTGTTACTTTATGGAGGTTGTTTAAGGTAAGTGGAAAAATAATAATAATAATCTAAAAAAAGAAATTAGTCATCAATATGACTCATTCAATAATAATGTACCGAATACTCATTTTTTCGATGATTCATTTTATATTGTTCATGTATGAATAATTCTGTTTTTTTTCTTCCTGTCAAGTGGTTATGGCAAAGGTGGTCCATGTCCATCGTCGGATACCTGGTTGTTACATCTTGATCGTGGTCATTGGGAACGTCTTTGGGGATGTCCAACAACAAAATATGGTGCTGCTATGGTTACACTTCCTTCATTTAGTACATGTGCATCAATGGGCCGTCAAGGAGGAATGTATGGAGGTGCTGCAGGAGTAAATATGGGAGCTGAACAACCAGTAGCCGTCTTATGGGGTGGTCGTGAATTTACTGCATCATCTATTCGTGTAAATAATAATTTTTTGTATGAAAACTGTATTTGTATTGAAATTTTATTTTCATTTTTTAGTCATATTTAAGTCCACGTGAAGAAGTAGCTGTATTTAGTTTAAGTCAAAAAGAATGGACTTTAAGACGAGCAGCTCCATCTTCAGTAAGTTAAACTAATTTTTATCCACAATTAACTTTCCGACACAATTCAACTTCATTTTCTTTTGAATCTAAAGCACCGGTTAGTCGTCTAGTCTTTTGCTTATGCATATGTTTTTTGCGTAAAATGTAGGTCGAGACAAAGCATGATTGTAACCGCATGAAAGCTGCCTGTCTTTTGTCTTTTTTTTCTTTTTTCTTTTGTATAAATTTACATTTTTTTATACATATATTATTTAAATACAGGATGGTGGTTATCCAATACAACGTGAAGGTGCTGCTTATGTTGCTGGATGCTTTCAAAATACACCTGGCATGTTTGTCTTTGGTGGACGAAGTGTTTCGTAAGTATTTTTTAGTACAGATAGATTTATAAATCACAAATTCTATTTATAGGGATGGTCGTTTACTTTCTGATCTTTGGTTTTTACAAGCATCACCACAAGATGCATTAAATGCACCTCGTTCACGTAGTTGTATTTATCCATTTTCATTCTATCATCTTCATGGAATATTTCAATTTTTTACATATGGTATTATCTTTCCAGTTGGTTATTTAGTTGGTCGTCATGCAACAAGTTTATCTATTAGACGACCATTACATATGATCTTGCAAGTAAAAAAAATATTGTTTAATAATTTATACTTAATAAAAATTTTCGTATTCTATTTAGCTTTTGGGTGTTGCATGTGCTATTTGTGGTTTTGCTTTTGGTGTACATTCTGTTCGTGCTCCAGCACGGGGTCATTTTAAATCTGCACATTCTATTATTGGTATAATAACATTTATTTTAACAATTATTCAGTTTATTGTTGGAATGTAAGTGATAGAACTGAAATGTTTTGACTTTTTATTTATCGATTGATTTCTTTCAAAGAATTGGTGCTTTTTTTCTTGGAAAACGTGCTGCAGTTAAAACTGAACGTATTAGTGAATCAGGTCAAAAGATTCATTTTGAACAAACTAATTCTGATACATGGGGTGGTGAAGGTACTTGGCGCATTGGTCATCGTATTTTAGGTTTACTTATATTAGCACTTGGCGTAGTTAATATATCATTAGGCGTTTTTCTTGCCGTATTACCATTACCTGTATGGATTGTATGGTTTATTTGGATGGGTTTTCTTGTTTTAATACTTGGTGGTATGGAGATTGTTGCATTATTACGTCAACGTGGTACTCATAAAGGTGGATCACTTAGATTAAAAGGTAAGAAGAAACTTTGAAAATTTATGAAATTTATGAAATTATTGAGTGATTTGATATGAATATGACTACTGAAATATATAGAAAGAAAATTTGTATTTTGTTGTTTTTTTTAACTCAAGAAAAAGATATAAAAATAGACGTTATTTATATTATCTCTCTAAGGAGTAAAACGTGAGGATCCAAAAGGTACATCACGAACATCATTACCATATACCGATGAACCAAATCAAACACAAATAACACCTAAACCACGTCAAAAACCTGGTCATGGATCACGACCAGATCCATCTATACGTGATAATAGCTTACCTCGACAAAGTGGTAGAAGTACGGGTGATGATATGGCACCACTTATAACTACTTACAGACAATCAAGACCTGGTGATGTTAATGCGTCAGCTAATCTTCCTGATTATAATCGACCTAATGAACGAAGATATCCAAGTACATCTCGAACTAGAAATGATCCAGCAGACAGTGAAGGCTTTGATTATTATGTTGGTTATGCACCTGAGCATGAACAACCTTTGCCGTACGTGGAATATTTTCCTTCACTATATCTGCTATTGCTATAACGGCATGCATTAATGCTACTTTGTGTGTGTGTTTTCGCTTACGCTTTGCTTATACCCCATGCTTATTTAAATTGATAATTTCATTTTTATTTATTTTATTTATTTTTTTTTTTATAGACGAGCGGCCATACAGCAGCAAAACGAGCACAATCTCACTCGAGTTAGGCTCCAATAAACACCTATCTACCCCAAATTCTCAACATATAAATTCCGGCCAATATTCTTCGTCCACAATTCGTTCGGACAGATTTCCTTTATATCGACGAAATTAAATAAATATGTGTGTGTGTGTGTGTGTGTGAGTGAATGAATTTTCTTGTTTCTTTCGTAAGTTCACTATATCTCAGTGGAAGATCTATATGCATGCTGTTGGTTTTTTATTGCTGTAGTTTAAAATAATAATAATAATCTATATACCAACGTATACTTCTTTTGTTTTAATGTTCTCTGAATTAATTATTTTCAAGCGCTTCTTGTTTCGTTTGTTTTTCGATTACGACAGTGTTGCTTTTTGTTTTTTTTCTCTCTCAATAAACTATTGTATATTTTCTTCTTCTTCTTCTTCGTGTGTTGATGTCGATTTTGTATGTGTCTGGTTTTTCGTCGTCGATACATTCATAATTTTTATATATAAAACGACAAGTTTCTTTTCTTTTTTTCATTTTTTTTCTAAATGAAATCCAGATTGAATATTTGGAAAATACATTTATTCTTTATTCAATATTTAAAAACAAATCATATAATTAGTTTCAATTGTTTTCTTAAGTTAATATTAGCTTTTGTTTTGTATAATATCAGTGAATAGACGATTGAGTTGAGAATCTATTCATAGTTGATTATCATTATTTGCTATGACTGAAGTTATAGACAATGATTGTGTCAATATATTTTATATTTAATGTTGACTATGGATTGAGTATTAGCAGTGAATTAGTCATTGGCTTATCAATACGCACTAATGACGATAAAATCCTAGAAAATAGAATTAGGGGTATGACACCCCTCCAATCTTCGAAAATTTCTATTTTTTGCTCAACAAAATCAGCAAATCTTCTTAGGTTTTTTACCAAAGATAATGATACACCCTCCAAAAACCTGAAAAAATTTCGGTACACCCCCAATGTTGGCTGACTCACGCCACCCCTGAATAGAATCAATATTTTGCGAAGGAAAGATTCGCAATTTGTTCTTCATAAACAATTATTTAAGTTTTTGAGATAAACTCGGATACTAAATTTGCTAATGGGCAAAGTTCCGGACTTGTTTGACAATGCAAATAGTTGAGTAGCGTGACTCTTATTTTTGATAAAACTTCGAGTAAGATTTATTTAGTATAAAAATATCAACATAATGTGATGGCGTCGTTTCATAAAAGAATAGTATTATTTCAGAGTTCGTAATGGTAGTTACCATTAAACTTGAGTGTATTTTTAATATCATCGTTGCAAGCAACCGAATTTCACTATTGAGTTAAGTTATTAATTCGAAAGAAAATCAAACATGTTTTTATCAGCCGTTGCAGTGAGAGTATATAATAATTATTTATTATATCATCAAATTTGAATGTCATTCTTATTTTAAAACTTTTAGTTCAAACTTCTGTCTAGCTAATTATTCAGACAAGTTTTGTACTCGGCTATAATTATCACTTATTTCATTTTCTTTTTATTACGTTATTTAATATCTCACATGATTTATAAAAAAAGGTTTCTAATTAAAATTTGACGTACTTTTTTTTAATATAAGTGATATATGAATTACAATTTAAAAGAACATTATCTTATTCTAAATGAATTACAAAACCCTTGTGGGAGAATACGATTTTCTTTACTCTGACGTCAAAGCATCAATAAATTTCTCTTTCGAACACTATATACTATCTTCAAAATGAGAAATAGACTTCGTCATTAAGATTGATATCATTTGATTATTTTTCTATTTTTATTGTCTTCATTGTTCGTGACTTTGTTCTCTGATTATATTAGATAAATATTGCATCGAGCATGACATGTACAGTTAGAGAGTTTCTTTTTCTAGGGTAGGTCGACACGATGCCATAGAAATAATCTATGATGATGTTTACTATTCATCACATTATTAAATTGTCACAATCAATCTTTTTTTCTCTCTTCATGTTTTATATCATTAATTCACGAAAATAAATAATTATCAGTGATTTTCTGTCCATTTGAATTACTCTGAGAATAATTAACCATGAAATTATATCCGATTAACACTTCAATGCTCCAAAATGGACTACTTTCTAAGCACAATTTTTCATATTAATGATTTTACGCCGCCTTTTTAAGCACAAACAAAGAGACTAAATAGGCCATTTATAGTCCATAAAAAGCTCTATTAGTTGAGAGAATATGTTTTTTTTTGACATACTCTAAATTTATCTGAGTAAAACCTTTTTTCTATTTGCGTCCTGAGAATCTTTCATTGAGATCCCACGCAACTTTAATTTTGTTATTTTTAACATAAAATCATGACGTGTTCAGATTTATCAGGAAGCAGAAGGAAAATGTTTTTTCTATTATTTCAATAAAGACAGAATGCTGAAAAGTATTTATTTTGTAACGCATGACGCACATAACTAGAACTATCGATGATTTTTAAAGAAGATGAAACGCTGAAACGTTGCTATCTAGTCAGGATATCCTCTTTTGAACTCTGTTAGAAAAAGTACATATGAAAACATAGAAAACTTGATTCAGAATTGAGTCTCATATGTGTTTCACTAGAAGAAATGAAGTAATTACTTTTATTAGAATATGGGTTAGAAAGTAGTCCATGTCGAAGCATTGAAGTGTTAATCGGATAGTTTTGTAGAGAATACTACGGGTTATTTTTTGACAAAAAAAAATCAAGTGTGTATGTCAAGATTTAAAGAGATATCTCGAATATACTGAGACCGCCATTTATTCTGTCGTACCCGTTAAATATGCCGATGATAAAAGTTGAGAGGAGTATTTCTTAATAAACTATATATCAAACAAATAGTTATAAACTAAGTAAAAACAATAAAGAAGGCGTTAAATATAGCTACTTTATACTCTAAATATTTATATAGTCATTGCCTTTAGTACTTGACATTTATTTATTTTCTCTCTCATTTATGAAAGTATTTCTTCTCTCTTTTTTTTTAATAAAAACTCACTTCATACATGAAACACTATAAAGTTGTTAGCACTACTATATTATAATTGAGACAAGTTATTTCTCTGTGAATATATTGTTTATATCATCATAGAACTTTGTTTATTTGTAATAGCATGCAAATCATCTCCCCAACGGGATACTACTTTACATAATTGATGTTTTAGATAATTGTTTTCTTTTGTTTTCTTGGGTAGTTATCGCGTGATTGACTATCATGTCAGTATTACTTTTTTGCCTTAGTTTTATTTTGAATATATAACTCATGTTGTTGTGTATATTAAAATAGTACAAGTTATTCGTAGTTTTTTTTATCGCTGAATCTTATTCTATGTAATAGAACTATTTTCTTTTATATTTTAAGCATATCGAATTAAGTATGATATTTCGAAAATTCCTACGAACTTCATTGGTCTTATATACTTTGATCATTTATATTTCTGCAACTATTCAAAATGGTAAGTAAATTCTGAAAATTATTTATTAATATTATATCAATTTATATTTAATCAAAGAAAATAATAATGAAGATGATGATAAATATAATCAAATCGAACGTTTTCTTTTACATGCAAAAACAAGAACAGTAGCATCATCAGGTGTTATCAATAATTTAATTCACCCATCAATAATCTCAAGTCAAGAAAATACATATCCATCTTTGGATAATTCACCATCAACAGAAATATGTATGTCTAATCCTTGTGAGAATGAAGGTATCTGTATTTCAACTGGACAAATGACATATGAATGTAAATGTGTAGGTCCATGGCGAGGCATACATTGTAGTAATGGTACGTAATTAAATTTTATTATTAATATATGATATAATTGTATATAATAGTTAAAATAAAATAAGCCTAGTATTTATTTCTATAGGTTTAAAAAAACGAAGTCTTACAAAACGACAATCGCTTTATCAATTAATGCAGGAAATGAAACGAAATAAAAATAAACAAGATGAAAATGATGGAGGAAGACCTTATTATGATTTTCGAAATGGAATTTATTTTTAAAAATTTTTTCTTTTTTCTCAATATCTGAAAATATTCTTATATTTTTAAAATAAATATAGCATCGAAAAGATGTTTTAAATGTGAAGATACTTATAAAACTTCACTGTCTATCATCATAGTATGATTGTTTCAAATTCTATCAAAGATTAAACCAATCGGACTACATTTCCTATACTGATACAAAAGGATCTAGAAATAGAAACTTACATAAACATAGCCTGAAGTGATCATACTGTATTTCTTAAATGAAAAATATTGATTTATTTGTTTAGTTAATGAGAATTGACTAGAAATCTTTATGTTAACAATTAAAATTGTGCGTTGTTAAATATGATTGCGAAATAATCATTGCGTCATTTACTGAAAACATTTAGTATTTGTTATCTGTCGAATGAATGATTCGAACCTTGAAGAAAATATACCTGTTCGTACACAAAGTACGCGATAAGAAATAAAAGATTAATTCGATATATGACGATGTTCTATGAGTACTTCCACTTTTTTTTCATATATTGATTGACATGAATAAGACATTAATTGAAATGATATAAACATTGTAAAGTAACTTTTCTTTAGTATTATTTACTGTAATGGTAAGTTTAAGTTGTACAACAAGTTTTAATATTCAAATACAAACCAATGTTTAGATATTGATTTCCTTCATTCGTTTGCTTTGTTTTGAAAAATCATATAAAATAATAGTTTGTATAAATTTACACTTAATAACCTAATCATTCTTTGATTACGTCATTATTTATAACCTTTACTGAATCGATTTGCAAACCAAACTATCTATCATATGTGATATGTTGTACATTTAACATAGATTCAAACTTTAAATATCTATGAATAACTCTTCTAAATTTAGAAGTTCAGTTATAGTTTATATTTGTTTTTCGTATGATATGAACTATCGTACTTTTGTAACGATTGCGCATACACATCTATGTTAACTACGAAACCTATAGAACGTATTTATGCACGTTATTTACCTTGACGCTATGATAGACATAATGATGCTGCATTTTATTTTCGTAAGCAATAAGAGTCATTCGTCATTACAGGGTGTACTTTCTCCTTCTCTTATATTTGCATTATAATACAGTACAATCCTATAAATACCAGTTGATTGCTACGCATTTGTTATTTATTATTTATTGTTATATATTATGATTCAAAATATGGATTCTAAAGATAAAACCGATACATTTATTATCAATGCCTTAGTATGTCCAATAACACTTGAATTATTTATCGATCCAGTTGTTGCCGATGATGGTCATACATATGAACGAACAGCTATTATTGAATGGATAAAAAATCATAATGAAACAAGTCCTATTACTCGTCAACCTATTAAACTAAAAAGTTTACAAAGTAATCGAATTGCTAAACAGTTAGCTGATCGATATCGTTCATCATCAACATCACATATAGGAAAAGATTTAGTTATCTTTTCTGGTAATGGTACATTATTAAATAAAGAACAACAAATACTTATCAATGAATTATTTCAAAAAGAAAAAAAATGGTCATTAATATATAAAGCAACTCGAGATGGTTTTGAATCAAATGATTTTCATCGACTTTGTAACAATCGTGGTGCTACACTTACTTTAATTAAAGCACGTAATCGTTTATCTATGAAAAAACGTAATTCAATTTTTGGTGGTTATACAACAATACCATGGTCATCTCGAACTGTTCATTATCGTGATCCGCAAGCTTTCTTATTTCTTTTTGACCATGAAAAACTGACACGTTTTAATATACGAACAAATGATGAAATAGCCGTTTCACATAGTGTTGCATCCGGACCAATATTTGGCTATGGTGATATTAATATTTGTCACCGACCAGACGTAAATTATTTTAGTTATTCAAAATTTCCAAATTGTTATCAAGATAATAATGAAAATGGTCGTGGAAAAAAAACATTTTCGAAAACTAAACATTTTCTAGTTTGTGAAATAGAAATCTATATGGTGATTACATAGATTAAAATATTAAGACTCATGGTGCAAACGTGCAGATAAATAGGTTTTCAATAGTGTTATTCTGTAATATGTTCGAATTTTGTAAATAAAGATAATTTTTATTCGATAGACAGATGTTTATTAAAGAAGCATATGTTGCAGATTTATATCATGACTTCGTTTTGAGTATTTTTATTGTCTATGACTTTTACAATCCGAATGATTATTTGATATTTAATTTCCGTAAAATTTAGCAAGAAAATATTGTTATATAACGTGTCACAAAATACGAATAATACAATTCATTCGATGAGTTAAAAACAAAGAAAAATATTCGTTAGCTTTTTCGCATATCTCAATGACAAAAGCAGATAACATATTTTTACATCAGTTGTATGCTTTCACGTGCGTCAATTTTTTCTTTTCTTTTCTCCTATACTTAGTCGACATCATCAAAGGTAAAGGCATATGACTACTATTCTTTATATTTAACAAAAAACGACGAAATAATGACTGACAAAGTTGCTTTTACTATGAAACTTAAACCAAATGTTATTGATGAATATAAACGTCGACATGATGAGATATGGCCAGAACTTGTCGCATTAATTCGCGAACATGGTATATCTGATTATTCAATTTTTCTTGATGAATCATCATTAACTTTATTTGCTGTTCAAAAAGTTTCTGCAAATACAATTTCATCAAATGATAAATTACGCGAAAATGAAATTATGAAACGTTGGTGGGTTCATATGGCTGATCTTATGGAAACCAATAGTGACAATTCACCTGTTACTCATCCACTTAAACTTGTTTTTCATATGGATTGAATTTCTTTCTTTCTTTCTTTCTTTCTTTTCTTTTGTTTTTATCTATTCTAAACATGGATGTCGCTAGATTAAATAATATATACTCTATAAAATCATTATTGGTTATCATTTCATACCAATGATTAAGTAACACTTTGTCTTTTTATTTCAGCTCCATATTTGGGGATCGCCATTGTCTATACGCGACATTCTTTGACTTAAAGAAAATAAAAATAAGAATACTTCTCTTAATTCTAATAATTAATTATTATTAACATAAATAAGTATGAATAAACTTTTTCTTTAATCATCTATTATTTATTGATATAAATAAAACGTTTTTTTTGATATTGTAGATTGCCATCGGTGTTGTTTTTTTAGAAACAAAAACAAAAACAATGGGCCGAAGACTTAGTGATACTAAAGATGATAAATCATCCGAAAAACAAACCACAAATGATTCTGCATCAAGTACAGATTCGAATCTTGATGAAGAAGAATTTGTTGTTGAAAAAATTCTTAAAATGCGTACTACAAAAAAAGGAAAAGTTCAATGTAAGATCTTTCATTTATTGAATTATTTATAAAAATTTTCTTTAATTAAAGATTTACTTAAATGGAAAGGTTTTCCTGATACTGAAAATACTTGGGAACCTGCTGAAAATCTTGAATGTCCAGAATTAATCGCTGCTTATATGGCTGAACAAAAAGAAAAACAACAAACACCAACAACAAATGGTAAACGATCTCATTCAAATATTAGTACCGATGAAGTTAATAATAATTCTTCTCCAACAAAACGTCCACGTATTGAATTAGAACAAACAGGTTACAATCGTGGTTTAGTACCGGAAACTTTAATGGGTGCAACCGACATCTATGATGGAGAATTAATGTTTTTGTAAGAAATTTCTTCGTTTTGAGCTTTCATATTTATGAAATTTTTTGTATTTCAGAGTAAAATGGAAAAGTGTTGCTAAACCAGAATTAGTTCCTTCACGAATCGTGAATAAACAATCAGCTCAACTTGTTATTAAATTTTATGAAGATCGTTTGACTTGGAATTCAACGACTGCATCAAATAATAACAATAAAAATGTTTAAAAAAAATACTAAATACAACGAACATTGTTCTGTTTTCTATTTGTTTATTATAAATTGTCTGTTTTTGCTAAGAATGTGCTTATTCTCATAATAGCACAAATGACTTCGGTTTCTTCTTCTTCTTTTTCTTCTGCTTCTTGTTGTTACTGATCGTCTGTGTTTTGTGATCGGATTTTGTTGTATATTTTTGAAAAAACATAGGATTATACATTTGTAACAGGAAAAAAAGAGTATTATTGTTCGTATGTTCTCGAACTTGTTATATGTTTCTCTGTATGATATTAGATGCGCTGTGAAATAAAAACGCTTTTATATGTTAGAAATAGTTTTTGTTTGTCAATAATAGTTCATATAAAAGATTGATTTAATGAATTATTAAATATTCATATATAAATTCTAATTAGCAATGAGAAATAATCCTCTTCAAGATTAGAGATAGTAAGTTCTTTATTAGTACTCATAGGATTGTTATGAGTTCTTTTTTGCTTCTACAAAGTTTATATTACTTGTTTCTAAATTCATATAGTAACGACGTAAAAGAGTTTTGTTTCACTAATGTAGTACTTCTTATATTCATGAGTCAGTTTAGTAGAACAGAAAATAGCAAATTCTATATATATTTTTTGTATGCTAATTGCATATTTATCATGTATAATTGCTTAATTAACCTATTTGTCGCTTTATATTCATGTTGTTGTCTTATGCGTATCGAAAACATAGTTAAATTTATAATAAATTACAAGGTTATAAAATTATTTGATTTGAGTAGGATAAATTAATATTAACAAAATTAATTTAGTTTAAAATGAAGAATCCTATTATTACCGATAATCTCAAAAGAAAGTACATTGTCTCGGAAGAAAGTTATTTTTATGATTTATTATATATTAATTGAAAATGAATCTAATCCTTCGATATTATATTTCGCTTTAAATTCAATCAGAATGTATTACATACTATAAGTAAGCAAATTATGTCATTTGTATCAACCTGATTGATCTATTGTCTATAATATGTGTATTTTTTTTTCGTTACTAAATATTTAAATTTCGAAATACACTATTCACACTCAATACCATCATTTACGATGAGACAAGATATATCAGACAAAAGAAATACACGCACACACATAATATAATAAATACAGATAAAAGAATGTCGACATTAAAAAAAAAGCAAAAGAAAAAAAAGAAAACAATAGTTCGAAATATCTACAGTAATGAAAAAATTGTTTCTACACTCTTTTTCTCGAGAACAGTGTTGACAAGAAAATAATAATACTAATAAACTTTATACAGTTCTTTGTTTTTTTCGTGGTGGACATATAATATTATTTTGTAAGGAAGCCATTGCTCTATATACATCAGCTAATAGATGAGGATGTGTAGAGATCATTGTTTTAAATCCAATTGTATCTAAAACATCTAAAAATAAACGAAAAATAAAATACTTCTTTTTCAAAAAACAAATTTTCATACCTTGTGGATGTGTATTAATAAAATCAATAGCTTGTTGTCGAAGTTGTTGTGCTGAATGAAGATCAGCAAGTATAAGTGTATCAGCAACATTATCTTTATCAATTATTGTACATAATGTTTCTTCACATTGAACTTTAAGTCTGTCCAAACAATATTTATCAGCTGCTGGTAAAAGTGCATCTGCTAATTTATCAATATTGTGTGTTTTACCCGTATATATAAAACGAAGAATTTCAAGCATTATATCACCATCAATATCTTCAATTTCAACACGTGAACGTTCATTTTCTAACATTTTATGTTCGAACATAGCTTGAAATACTCTTGAACGTGCACTAAGAAGTGCTTTATGTACGGGAAATTCTTTTTGACCACAAACAAGTGTTACATCAGAATAAACAGGATTGTCAAGTAATATAAGAAAATCATCACTTAAACGACATTCAGGAATTTTAAACTAAAACAAAAATATATAAGCAAATCTTGACAAACATCAAATCTAAACAATTCCATTTCGTTGTATACTTAAATATGTTCTATCAAAATTATCACGTATGCATGAAAGTATTCGTTCATATTTTGGTTAATCATAAAGAAACTTTGTACTACGGATACTCACTCATTAGTTCATTGGGAATCAATTTTTTCAACTGAAGGTATTTCAGAATATTATTCAAGGAGGATAACGCTATATTTTTGAGTCGGAAATATAATGAATTTTATATCAAATGAAAGTCCGTGAAAAATGGAGTTATGATGCTAAATAGTAAGACTTTCGTGTATCGATTTATTAAAAGTTCGGATTTTTATCGACATGAAATATTATAAGATCAGTTTATGAAAAAATGTTTGAGCTAAATAGTATGTTGCAGAATAGTTTATTTTCTTATTATTTAATGAGGACTATCAATAATCAGTATGACAACCATTAGCGTTCTTAACTGCATGAAGTCGAGATGAATACGAACATAAAAGAGCTTCAGACAATTAAGTATGTCTTCACGATATCGATTATTTCCAGTTTCCGATAATATTGTTTCTTTCAACTTCATCTTTGATTATTGATCCATTATGTTCCACGACATTGATACCAAGCTAAATATCATTGCGCCAAAGTTAAAAATGATTTTTAACGTTTTTTTCAAAGGAAATTCCATTGTTTTTAAAAGTTTAATGTACGAAAGTCTTACTATTTAGCATCCTTAAATCCCATTTTTCACGGATTTTCATTTGATACAAAATTCATCATATTTCCGACTCGAAATTATAGTATTACTCCCTTGAATAATACTATTTACCACCTTGTAAGTATACAAAGACCTTGAAACGCTAATTATTCAAGGTTTACTGATTTCTTCTGGTAAGACTAATGTTAACATAGTTCGATTATAGTTTACATACCGGATTAAGTTGTGTTTGTCCACTAATATTAATACTATCTGCAACGACACTAACTTCACAAAATAAAGTTAATTTATCATCTGGTAATAAACCATTCGCTTCATCGATTAGAAAATCTCGACGAATAAATTTTTTAAATCCCCAATCTTTGCCTAAGATTAAAATAAAATTTTTTATCGAAATATAATAATAAAAATGAAGATTTTTATTTACCTTGAACAAAACGATAAGCACGTTGAGATTCCATAGCTTTAGTTTCATCACCTTTCGCATTAAGAATTGAAAATTTAAATTTTGCTCGTGTTTCACATTTACTATTTGGTGCAGCAACAAGTAGAAGATAAAGTGATAGATAATCTTTCGATTCTTCGTCAAGACCTTTCGGATTTAAACGTAAACACCATTTTAATTTATCATTTGTATTTGCTGAAAATGATGATGATTTCAATGCTTCACCCATTTCTTCGCGACAAAATGAAAAATTATTTATTGTCCAATTAAATGAAAACTATAAACAGAAAATATAATAGTGAAATAGATTTTATTCAAAAATATTTCTATGACATACTTTGATCACTTTTACACTCGTTAAACACCATGATTCCGAAACAGGTTGACTAAATGTATGAATTGGTTGTTGTGTATTTTGTGTTGGAAGGACAACATTATCACCGTTCATACCACCTGGTATATAATGAACTGATGGCGATGGTGCTCGTACAACAACGATATTTTGTGGTGAATCAGGAAGCATCATTTGTCTATGAAAGTATTTTTATTTTTTAATGCAAGGACATACACACAAATAGAAATGAATATCAGAAAAATCTATTTAAAATAAAAAAAAATGAAATTTTACGCGCGATGTTATTTTCAAAACAAAATATATATATATATACATAAATCAGTGCTGAAGAACGAAAAAGAAAAGATCAATGTGTATATCTCAACGGTCAATCACTCACTTGTGATCCTTCTGATATGATCTATAGTGGAGTAAAGTGACTCATCGAAATAAGTGACTGATTTAACTTTTTTTTTTGACACATTATTTTTGAAAAATGAAAAGAAATATGACAATTTTTTCTTTTATTTTTCTATGTTTTATAATGATTATAGTTCGATTTTTATTATGATAATTAGCGCACTCTACTGGAATTAATTTATTCGAACAATTTATACACCAATCAGATTAGTTTATTTTAAAGCTGCTTAATACCATCTTCTCTTCTGTAATGAGCACGCGCATGTATTGCAGGTGTCATTTCAGCTTGAACATGCTCTCATTCTGATCCATACATTGATTCGTGTATATGATTCATCGATTGCAAAGTATATGTGTCTAAGCGACGGTGGGAACATGTTTTGTTGTACTTAATAATATTTGATTATAAATATTGTACGCAATGACCGCATGAGTTAATAGTCTAAACAGACGATAAAGAACTAGTTATTTTTTAGATGAAACGCATTTTTTTATTCTGTTGATTCAAAAGTAAGTATAGGTGACTGAGTATTGTTGTCATGAGGTAATAAATATTATAGCAGCTCAACTCTTGTGAAAGTATCGATATATATAAAATAAAACTTTTATTTAAAATGACGAAACTTTAATTAATCAGATATAGAAACCATGCAAACTAATAATCGATAACAGTGACTCATTTTTTCTTATCATTGATTTTTCCTAATGTAAAAAATATATTCATGAATAATTTAAAAGGAATTTAGTATTTCACTATATAAAAATGATAGTAATAGGTATATTATAAATTATATTCGTCTTTTTCCTACCTTTAAAACTTCATAAAACTATAATCAATATAACTGAATTTGTCTACTTCCTCTATTGTTAACATTTAATTCGTCCGTGTGAATCATTCTGTTTCAAATAAGATTTATTTTATTTTATTTTTTAAATAATAGTTTATCATTGATAGAATTGTAAATGCACTTTTGTAATATTATCAATAATAATGATCTGCCTGGATAAAACGTTCTATATAACTATTAATTATAGTACTCATGTATATATTTATTTCCGTTTCATAGAAATATTAGACATATACGTCAGGTTTCTATTTATGAATCTTAAGGATCATCTTATAAGGAAATTAATTTATTATATATTAAATAGAAAAAGAAATGGGAAAAATTTGATATAGAAGCAACAATAAGTTTTTTTTATTTTATTTCAGATTTGAATTGTAATCTTTTCTTGATAAAAATGAGCTTTACTACGACGCGTAGCTTCCGTCCATTAACCCGAATTATTCATCCAACTTTGTTTACCTTAAATTTTCTTGGCGGACCATCATCGGTAATTATTCTTTATTTATTTATTTTTCGTTTTTATTTTTAAATTAATTTCAATAGAAAACTATGATACCTACAACTACGGGAACACATATTCAACCTGTATATCTACCACATCCTCAACAACCATCTATAGGTTTATCTGGTCTATCTCGAACGGATCATTGGAAAATTGAACGTGTAATAATAGTAGCTATGCTTGCTATCATCCCAGGTTCATTTGTATTCGATTCAATACTTATGAATTATTTCCTAGCAGCATCACTCGCCATCCATGCTCATTGGGGTTTGTTTGAATTTTTTTTGATATGATAATATATATATATTTCTATTTATAGGCATGGATACAGTCTTAATCGATTATTGTCCACGAAAAGCATTACGTTTAGCAAATGCTATTCGATATTTACTTACTGTTCTGTCATTCCTTGGACTATGGTAAGAATATAATATTATTATCTATTTATCTCTTTATTTATTTTTATAATAGTTATTTGAATTGTAATCATATGGCTTTAACAAAAGCATTGAAGGCACTTTGGTCGATTATCTATTAATGATTTATTGAGTTTATATTGTATAATAAATATCTGCACAGACCTTACTTGTGAATTATATCTTTTTTTTTATTTTATCGTGAGATTTCAAATTTGTTGCACGTTTTTCTTTATTTGGCTTAATAAACATCAGACGAATTATTTTAATAGTATGTATTTTTTTCATAAAATTGTATTCAAATATAAATGAAATTATGTTTATAATTCTATACAATCGTAAAATCTTCCAAGCATCACTATATCTTGTACGAAATAGATAATTAACCCTTTGAAAGTACCCATAAGTATCATTATATGACAATATTTATCATTTCTGACATTTCTATGCATTAAAGAATGTCAACTAAAGAGATGTTTACGAGTGAAGCTTTATGATACATAGAGACATAAAACATGTGATGAATATTATACAGTAATTAGTATATTGAAAATCGATCTAGATATTTTCCTTTTAATGACACTAATCATTAGCAGATGAGTATGAGTAGGAAACAAAAGTGTATAAATATTATAAAGATACTACGTTGCACGTTATACATTGAGTTTTTCTCGATAAAGATACAATCGATTATTCATCTTTCTAAAACATCTGCCACAAATAAATTAAGAAAAGATTAGGAGAAAGACTATTGTTATTTTTTCATTATCGAAGATACTTATTGATTTTGATTAACATAGAATATTGTAAGAGTCTTTCTTTTCTATTCATAATAATAAATAGATTATATAAAGTTCATTTGAAAACATTTTCGTTCATTACTTCACTACAAATGCTTACAATGAGGTATTTTATATTTCAGAAAATTCCGTTAATCAAATTTGTCCTACTTTTTCTAAGAGAAAAAATACTATATAATATATACAATTAAATATTGGAATGTTGACATCTGAAGAGAATGTTCCTAATGTGAATATAAATAATAAAAATATTCTACTATTACTCTTGACTTACACTTATTTATTGACATACTGTTGTTTTCGCAGAATTACTCGATATTTTGATTGACAATGTCAACTGTAATTATTGTGTTCTTCGAGCCATAAAAAATTAAAACAATATTGTACATATAGCTTGAAAAAACATATTGTATATGTTTTTGGTTAATTTCATATATGTAAACATGCGATGATAATTGCTTAGTCATATGATCTATTCAAATTCTAAGAAGATGTACGTATAGTTCGTTTGATGATTTTCAATGGTATTGTCATCAATAAGTTTGAGAAATGAAAATAAGCATAAACTGACAAGTCATTTATATCAATATAACATCTTTGTATCAACACTTATTAATCTGCTTTGGTGATAAAAGAAGAAAAAGAAACGTCAAACACAATGAAAATATTTCGTGTGCGATGGCTGACTGTTATAATCTATCAACATAATTAGTAAAAATACTAATAACAACAACAACAACAACATCTGTCTGGCTAGCTGTCGTCTTCCGTATTTTGTTGATAGAAAATCTTACTAGCTCCACAAGCTTGAAACAGTTCTTTAGTGTTTTTTTGCTTTTTACTACGAGATATATATCTCAGACATGTCATAGACGATTGTTTATATATATCAAACTGAATCTACCACTTTTCTTGTTAGATTTGTAATACGTTACAACTAAAGAATAAGTTATGGTGAGTTCTTATAATATGCAATGGATTTTAATTAACTTCATTTCTTTTTTTGAAAATAGGACAAGAGATCATATTTAAATGCACATTATCTAGCTGCTGGAGTTGAACAATGTTTAGATGATCATCATTTCTTACGATATAGTCATGAAACAGTATATATATATATTATTCGAATAAAACCAATATTAATATTAACTTTCATTTATTATTTAGATAAGTGGTCAGGAAACACAATTAAATCGAATTTTACGTGCGCTTAATCAGGATGAAATTGCTCTTAATTGGTATATTGATACAACTCCTATTGATAGAGCACGATCACGATCAGCTTATAAATTTGAACGACCAGTTTATCCAGGAAGTATCGCTTATGAACGTCTTCGAGATAGGGAACGAGAAGCTTTAAAAAAACGACCATCATCATATGTACCATCTCAACGTACTTCTAGATATCAATCAAGATTAAGTGAACAACGTGATCGTTCATCACCAATAGATTCTACAGCTGAACAACGAGCTTTAGCTAAAAAAAATCAAAGTAAGAGCGAGTTTAATAGATATATAATTTATTAGAGAACAAATAAAATGAATTTTTTTATTATTTCAGAATCAATTCAAGAAGATATTATAAGACAAAATGAATTAAATTCATTTACTGTTCGTTATGAAGAATTACCAGTAGTGAATAAAGGTTCAAACGATCAAGATTCTTTAGGTTATATGGTATGTGAATGGGCATTACCAAATTCAGCATCTAAACTTAAATATTGTTCAATTGAACGTCAATTAGATAATGAAGAATGGTTACCTATTGAAGAGAATATTGATCAATCAAATAATCAAGTTCAATTCAACATTTCATCCTTACTTTCGAATGCTAAAGATGAAAATATTTCATCTTCACTTTCAAAAGGTAAAAATGAAAATGATTCATCCTTATCTCCAGATGGTAAAAATGGAAATGGTTCAACCTTACTTTCGAATGATAAAAATGGAAATAGTTCGTCCTCACCTTCAAATGCTAATAATGGAAATAATTCATCTTTACCTTCGAATAATAAAAAAGGAAATGGTTCATCCTCATCTTCTAATGGTAAAGATGGAAATAATTCATCTGTACCTTTAAATGATAAAAATGGAAATAATTTACCCTCACTTTCGAACGATAAAAATGAAAACGGTTCATCGTTACCTTCGAATGATAAAGATGGAAATGGTGCATCCTTACTTTCGAATGATAAGAATAAAAATAATTCACCGTCACTTAAGAAAGGTAAGAGTGGAAATGACTCATCCTTACCTTTGAATGATGAAAATGGAAATGATGCATCCTCACCCTCGGATAATAAAAACGCAACTACTTCATCCTTACCTTTGAATGATAAGAATGGAAATAGTTCATCCATACCTTCGAATGATAAAAACGACAATAGTTCATCTGTACCTTCGGATGATATAAAAGGAAATGATACATCCTTACTTTCAAATGATAAAAATGAAAATAATTTATCATTACTTTCTAATGGTGAGAATGGAAAGAATTCATCCTCACTTTCGAAAGGTGAGAGTGAAGATAATTCATCCTTACCCACGAATGATAAAAATGCAACTAATTCATTCTTACTCTCGAATGATAAAAATGGAAACGGTACATCGTTACCTTCGAATGATAAAGATGGAAATGGTTCATCTTTACTTTCGAACGATAAAAATGAAAATAATTCATCTGTACCTTCTAACCCTTTGAAGACCGGTGGTACATGTGCTGCACTACATACCTGGAGGGGAATCCCACCTAAAAACAAAATTAGTCCTGAAAGGGCTAATGGTATAACTGAAAATGATTCATCCGTACCTTTGAATGATAAAAATGAAAATGATGCATCCTCACCCTTGAATAATGAAAATGCAACTACTTCATCCTTACCTTCCAATGATAAGAATGGAAATAATTCATCCTTACCCTCGACTGATAAAAATGAAGATGGTTTATCCTTACTTTCGAACGATAAAATCGAAAATAATTCATCCTTACTTTCAAATGGTAAAAATGAAGATAGTTCGTCCTTACTTTCGAATGCGGAAAGTGGAAATACTTCATCTTTACCTACGAATACTGAAGATGAAAATGATTCATCCTTACTTTTAGATGATGAAAATGGAAATGGTTCAACACGTTTTCGTTTAAAAGCTTGTTTCGATGATGGAAAAATATTTACAAGTAACCCAACAGATGAAATCGATGTTGAATTATTAGCAAATACTCGTGTTATAACACCTAATATTGAAATTCTTTCAGCTAATTCTGTTCAATTAACATGGAAAAATGATGAAAATAAAAAAGCAAATATGTATGATATTGAAAAAAAAGAAGGACAACAAGTAGAATGGGAAAAAGTTTTAAGAGTTCCATTTTCACGTGGTGTAGCTCAAATAAATAATTTAATTGACGCTCAACAATGTCAATTTCGTTTAGTACCATCAAAATCAGGTTCGACGATAGATTTAATTCATTTCTTTGAAAAAATATATTCTATTTATATAGATGATGAAGATGAATCAGATGTCTTAACTGTACATAATGTTAATGAATTACTTCGTTCATTACATCTTGAACCAACATCATCCGATACAGTTAATATTAATATTTCAGAAGAAGGTTTCATAGAATTTGATCAATATAAAGTTGAATATACAACAATTGATCAACTTGATCAATGGAAACAAGTATGATCGCGTATATCCATATATACATACGTAGGATAAGAATTAGTTTTTCATTTTAGGTTTCAAATATAACACGTGAAACTCCTCATTTAACTGTTGACAAACTTAAACCAGGACTTGATTATAAATTTCGTTTGACACCATTTTTACGTGGAACAGCAGCAATAGATGAAGCAGTTTCTTCTCAACTTTCACTTGTTCTCGATGTCAAAATGCCAACAACACGCAGAGGACGATGTTAGTATTTAATGTTATTATTTCAAAATCTAATCTTTTCTTTGCAATCTAGTGGTTAAAAATGAAGTTAAAACAACAGCGCCTCCTTCTCAATTTGCTGTTCATCAAACTGATCCAAAAACTGTTTTTATTGAAGCAATTCTTCCAACGAATAAACCAGCTTTATTCGAAGATGTTTTTGATGTTTATTCGAAAAAAGAAACAGCTGATAGTGAATGGATAAAAGTATGTTGAATTTACAAAAAAAAAAGAAACTAATAAAATAAACTATTTAATAATTAAAGATTGGAACAATTGATAAAGATCATTTAAGTATGACTATGAAAAATCTAGAAGAAAATACAGGTTATACATTTAAAATTCATAATCAAACATCACCATTATCAGATGAACAAAATAATATTGTACAAGAATTTAATTTTGAAACACAATCAGGTTAATCGATTTTTTAATATTATAAAGAATTATTTTGAATATTTGTATTTATATTTTAGTAAAACTGTATGATCCATCGATATTTTTAGAGAAAATTCATCGAAATCTAGAAACTGTTGTTAATAATGTTATGGAAGCAGGTTAGAACATACATTTCTGCATATAGAATTATAGTATGATGTTTTTTTTTATTTAGCTGCTGGTCATCAGGCACTTGACGGTCCGGTAAATAAAACTTTAAATCAAGTTATTCGAGATATTTTTCTTGATGAAAATCTTATACCAAATGAACAATATGGTTTTGATACATTAGCATTAAGTGATGATTTTCAATTATTTCGTGGTCCTACACAAATGATGGCACAAGAATTAGAGTTGAATAAAGTAAGTGAATTATCGAAAAATGATGGCGAAATTATTATACATAATTATGGACCGAGTGATCGTCAGCAACAACCAGTTATTGTACGTGAAGAAAATGGTAATACACGTATTGGACATGTTGATGGTGATGTTATTATACGTAATGTTAATACCGATGTTTTATTAACAAATGATGAAAAACGTAATCAATTATCAATGAATATTGTTGGACAAGCTTTTTTGAAACGCGTTCAAGGAACATTAATTATATCAAAATTTAAAGGCATTATTGTTGTGAAACATGTAGATAAACCATAAGATGCCTATATTCGCTTACTCTTTTTTTTTGTTCTCTCTTATCTTATATTCTTGAAAAAAATAAATTAGTTGTAGTAAATACAATAAACAATGAAAATAGTTTTTTTTTATGATACAGGCAATAACTGTAATCGAAGTGATTGTCGTTGATCAATTTTGTTTTTCGATGAAGTACTTTCTAAAAGAAAAGAAAATGAATGATCTTCTGAGTATTATGAGTACATTGAGATCAAACTCGTAGTACCGGAATACTTGATATATGATTCTGACACGATGTTATCGGATGTCAGGAAGTATCGGTATATTTTTGGAACGCCCAAAGATCCGATACTTTCCGACATCCAACGACTTCCTGCCAGAATCTGTTATCATGATTTCCGACGAATTTCTATCGAACCGAATAAAATCCGACTGTTGAATTGTTCATTCTGAGTATATACAAAATACGAACCACTTGTGTGTGAAGTTTTCTTCTTTTGTTGAAAAACTGTTGATTGAATGTGAGAATTTGTTAGAATAAAAACAAGTGGATTAAAACAAATCGATGATTTAGCAAAAAGTGCTATCAATAAAATTATATATAAGAAAACAAAGAAAAAGAAAATCTTAACTTACCAGGTAATGTCCCACCTAATGGTGAAATTAATGTCGGAGAAAAAAACGATGAAATAAATGCTACACTGGCATACGGCGTCCACGCAATGGTAAAAGTAACTGAAAAACATAAATATTGATAGATATTACGATGTTTTCTTACTATGTTTTAATGACTTGTCATCATGCAAAACTACTCAAAATCATTCAAGGAATTTTAAAAATGACTTACCAATAATGAAAATAACTGTTTTTGCTACATGTTTTTCTAATTCCTGTTTTCGACGACTTCGAGTTCTAGCTAAACTATTTCCCCATTTTGAACTTCGTTTAGATACATTGAATACCTAATACAAATAAAAATAAAATCATATATTATATATAAAAAAAATATACTTTACTTCTAGATAAATTTTTGTATTACAAAAGATTAAAATAAATAATGGAATAATATATCCAAAAAGAAACATACAAATATTATAACTAATAACATTTAATGTTCGATCTTGCCAACGAATAGAACATGATGTTAGTACACCTTCTAATGTATAATAATTCCTATATCATACAGAATATATACATATATGTAAATGATAATATTCACTATTACTTACCATCCAAACATAGGTACTATTGCCCAAAATAAACCTCCTAATATTGCCAAAAATATTGATACATAAATAGTTTGAAAAGTACTATATTTTGATTGAACAGGTGTAACGATTATCCAATATCTTTGAATTAATATACATTAAAAAGTCCGATTTTGTATATTCAATTTTTCTTACCTATTCAACGATAAAGCAGTTAATAAATAGAGTCCAATCATTCCAACAGAATATGCAATAAAACCTTCATAATAACACAAATATTTTCCATATAACCATCTAAATGTAAAAAATATTATTATGTAAAAAAAAGAGACAAGCTTATATTTTATACTGGCAAGCAAAATTAGATGTCAGAGGTAATGGAATACCAAATAAAGCATGTATTAAATCAACAGAAGACAAAGCAATTATAAATAGATTAATTGGTGATTGAAGTTGTTTTTTATTGAGAAGAATACAAAGAATAAAACTATTAAGAATAATACCAAAAATGAATATAAAACATAAACAACCACCAATCCATTTCAAAATATGACATGATGCTAAAGCAGGTTGTGTCCATTCATTATTGATTAATGAATGCATTATATTTTTACTAACAGGTAATAAAAATGAACTATTTAACATTATAATCTAAAAGAAAATATTCTTATGAGATTTGTCTCTTTTTTATATACTTATTTTTCCAAAGAACGGTCGATTGTTTATAAATCATAGGGATGAATAAGTATGTTAACTGAATTACAAAGTTTATAGATGAGAAGAAAAACAATTCATGACATTTTTCTTTGACAGAAATAAAGAAAAAAATGATGAACTTTATTATAGTTAACGTCTACTACTATTAAACATGAAAAAATGCATATGTCTATTCGATTTACTTTCATAGAAAGCATGTCTTTGTTTGGTGACCTAAGATGAGATAGGATCTATAAATAATTACTATGACAAGACTATATTATTAGAGATGAAACGATGACGATCATTTGTCGGTATGTATTACATCCGTTACTGCTAGTATGTTGAAGAAAAAAATTCTTTGATATATATTAAAATTTAGCTGCTTAAGAATGATGAATGAACTATTATTGTTCTGTTTATCTAATAAGAACATCACACATATTTAGAATCATATGTGGCGTGTTATCCATTTGAAAAGAGAGGGGTAAAAAAAACAATGATAGTGCATGTTTAGATGTGCATAATAATTAACTTAATAATTGTAAATGACTTCTTCCCGTAATTAACCTACATGCATCCATATGAAATTTATTTGGATAGATAGTTTTTTCTTCTATATTATGAAAATACAATATTCTAAGAAGTCAACTAACATTGAAGCATGTAAGGATACTCTCAACTATAATGATGATGTACTTATTAACTTAGTAAAAGTGAATTTCAAGCGTATAGAAATATATGGCATGCTCTTGATCCTATGGTTTATAACTGAGGATAAGCTTTAAATATCTACTGACTGACTTTTTCTAGGAAATAATATTTTAATATTTCAAATAAAATATATAATTTTACTCATTCGAATAAGGCGGAGTTTTTCCTTATATGCTTCGCGTTTTATCACGTTCTTATGTTCTTACTGCAATCGTCTAATTACTTAAATCAACTAACTAATATAATTTTCAATGACAGAAGCTGTCTTCAAAGTTTATATTATTATCAAATAGAAAGAATAGTTCATTGTGTATAAACAAAAAGAAAAAAGAACTATAAGTCTATTTTTCTTCAAGGTTTAAGATTGCTTTCAACAACTAAAGAATAATGAAACGTTAACTCATTATATCGTGATGATTACTTCCACTTGAGACTTCATTTGAGATACCTTACAGGGAAATACAATGAATTGAACACGCTAAAAAATACTATTGCACAACATATCTTCTATTTCTAACTGTTAATACGACAAGTAGAAAATTAGAAATTTATAGCATAGATACATGTTTGCTTATATTATAAAGAATTCTAATTAAATTCGATTCTTATTAATATATATATGATATATACAAAGAAATGAAGTATTAAAAATCTGGTTGGTATTATGACAGATTAAATATATTCTGTTGAATTTTTGAAAATATTGTAATTTTGACAGTGAAGATACCTTGATTCTTAGTGATTATGATATAAAATCCTACGTTAATATTTATTATTAACAGTCTAGAAAGTTTTTTTT